CTACGACAAATATATACGACAACTTTCTTATTCTTAAATAACAGCCCAAGTATTCTGTATTCAAAAATAAAACTTCGGTCTTGGTCGACGCAAAAAAAAGTTTATTGTCTTTTTGAAAACATTCAGCCATCAGAACTGTATCTCGGTCATTTTTATTGTTTAGTGTACAAATATTGATAGAGTTTTTCCAAAAAACCTTTCGTATAGCGAATAGTATGTAAGGACACTGTATTCACCCAAGCTTCACATGAGCATTGTAATTCTAATCGGATAAATATAACTAAAGACGGTGTAAATGAACGGGTCACCACGACGCAGAGATGTTAGTCAGACGATACAGATGACGAAACTAACTATTAGCATGCAAACAAAAATTCCTGACCAGTTACTATCCTTTTTTGATTCGGATTTCAAACAGCAATTTGTTGACTCTTACGCTATATTCTTGCGTTACGTTATTATTATTATTCTTACGTTATTTTCAGTTTCATTAACACTTTCTTTACTTAATGGCCGATTCATTAATTTTTCGTCTAAAATAGTTTAACAGAAAGTGTAGGAAAAAGTAGTCAGCTTTTGAATTACCTATTGTGTCAACTTCTTCTCTTTGTTCGTCTTCTGGACGGTCATGAGCTATATCTGTATCTAACTTTTGTGTTTGAACTAAATGATAATATTTTCCTTGTTCGTCAGCTATTAATTTTTGATGGCTTCCTTCTTGAATAATTCGTCCATTATCCATTACATAAATTGTATCACAATTTCGGATCGTAGACAGACGATGTGCAATAATAATTGTTGTTCGGCCTTCAGAAGAGACGACAAAATAACAACTCATACCATCAGCGAAAGTAAAAACTGCATCATTTTCAAAACACTTTAACTCTGCAATGCAGAAACAAGCGACGGACGACATCGTTTTTCGAGACGCATAAGAGAGAAAATATGACTTTTACGCCTACAGGTCTAAAAAGTATCAGAGTACCTTTTACCCCAAGTTTTGGTCGCTCACAGTTCAAAATTTTACATTGCAGCGGCAGCAGCAACCACTTCTTTATGGTTATGAATTTAATTACCTTTACATGCTCGATTTAAAGCACCTTGAACGATTTTCTCATTTCTATTATCCAATGCACTTGTAGCCTACGACATGAGAAATTTACATAACTAAGAAATCGAGATGAAAGGCAATTACTTCGTCGAGGAGCAAGATCTTTGGATTTCTAATCAATGCACGAGCAATAGCAATTCGCTGTTTTTCACCGCCTGAAAGCTGAAATCCTCTTTCTCCAACCAATGTTTGATATTTCTATTCAACAAAAAAATTCTTATAAAGCGGTTCCAGTGAAATCTCATTTCTTCCTGCATATATTACATGTGGCAATTTCATTACAAAATCATGGGCATTTGCCTGCTTGGCGGCCTCTTCTATTTGGTTTTGTGTGACATCCTTGTAATCGTTGCTTCCATAGCGAATGTTTTCAAAGATAGTTGTGCCGAAGAGTACCTAAAAAAAACCTTGCCATTTTACATAGTGAGCAACACGTTCATCTCAATTTTTACAAACCGGTTCTTGCGAAACAACTGAAATTTGTTGTCGTAACCATTTTCGATCATATTGATCGATAGAGCAGCCATCGATTAGGATCCTACCTAACGTTATCTTGTAGAACTGCAATAATAATTGTACACATGTACTTTTGCCTATATTTGAGAATACTCGAACACTGATCATGAAGGAATCAACATAAAAAGAACAACTAACCACATCCGCTATGTCCGACCAATGCAATTGTTTCACCTTGATTCAATTTAAAACTGACCTTGTCTAACACTTTAACATCTATTCGTGCTGGATATGAAAATTGAACACTATCAAATTCAATATCACCTCTCAAACGTATGTCTTTAGTTTTGCCTTGGTTGTCGTCTTTCGAGGATACTGACAATGATGACTAAATTTAAAATTAGCATGATTTATATCATTAACGAGTTAAGAATTTTGAGAGTTAATTTTTCAGTTTCTGCACTCAACAGTTACAAGTGTTAGATGACTATATTCACTCGAATTGGGAAACTGTTGCAGCTGAACGAAAGAACATATGACTTGACTGGACTCGAACTCAGGATCATGACATTCCGTGTCCAAGCTCTAATCAACTGAGTTATCGAGCTACAGTCTCATCATATGTCTCTCGTATTACAATGAAAAGCGGTTCTAAATGAGTCTAGTTATCGGGAGAGCTAAAAACTAACAAAGAAAATACATAGTTAAATCAATCTTTTAAGTAGGAGCTGAATGGGTCAACGAAATCGTTTTGTAAAAAACAGTTCTTTTGTTCTGAATATCTTTCGCTAATAAAGTTTGTTCGTTGGTGTTGTTCTTCAGGTCATTTTTTTGTAAACTTCTTTATTGAATGAACTATTTTCTTCTCTCTCTAAGCTGAAGAGTACTACAAGAACTATCCGTTTTCCGGTTCAATATTACCGATTCAGAAGGAATAACCCTAGGAAAAATGTACAAAAACTTCAACGGGAGTAGGTATGATTATTTATTTGGTAAGAATGAGAACACCGAAAAGATTCGTAGCAGTTCTTTCGTACGCTGTGACCATTTTCTGGAGACAATAACAGTATCTTTGACCTATCTTCAATGAAGTTTCACTTTTCGTATGAAAGGCGTCTTATGAAATCTTACAAGATCTCCTGACATTTTTCTCAAACATTACAATGACATCTTGCGCAATAAATTCCAAGATCTTATCGAAAAAGATAAAAATATGTTGTCTTTGAAATATGATCCTAAAATATCATAGAGATTCTCATTGTAAGATTTTGTATGATTCTAAAAGATCTTTTAAAGTCTCGTTACCAGATTTACAAAGTTTTTAAACAAACAGGTTTTGTCATGTCTCCAATGTGAAAATCTCGGTATAATCTATAAACAAGGAAAAATGTTCCAAGAACTGTGAAAGACGCTGAGATTTTGTGGGTGAGCGTAGGGCTAACTGCTTTAGTCAGCTGTACTCCTTTTGATAAATATTTTAACAATATTTGAACACTGAATTTGAACAGTTTATGCACGTTACAGTACTTCGCAAAAGTAGCGATATCTCTGTAACTCAAGAACCGTGACACTTAGGGACTTCTAATTTTGTGTGGTCCTCCTCTCACCAAGTTTGGGCCTCTTTACTGGATGTTCCGTGAGATTTAAGCGTTTTATTTTTTTCTATAAAACATATAGTAGTACCTCCTAATCGACAGATGAAAACTTTTTCTTTTTACCAAACTGTAGCCCTGATTCTCCTCTATCTACAACATGAATTCGTTTGTTGGCTCCTATAGTTACCGAAATGCAGCTATTTTACAATTGAGGGTTACTTTTGGAATATAAACATCCAGAAGTAAATCTTTCTGAAAAAAATTCATAACTTGACCCAGGAATATTATTTTCACTTGAAAATTGCACAGAATACTCTAAAATGTCTCTAGACTATTCACACAAAGTTTGAAGGTTAACTGTTGAAAATTCAATGAGAATGCGCACCCACTAATGAAATGTACGTAGGGAGGCGAGGGTGAGGAACTAAGGATCGTTCGTAGTACCATATCTTCTGTGATTAATAACTCATACTTATCCAAAGCAGAGATTTATGATGAAAATTTTTTTGTTAAAAAAGGCACTGCCAAATATACCGACAAGGTTAGATGCTTCCCGAGTCACACCTTACAAAGATAGGTGTCGTTGTCAGTAATTTACAAGTTTTCGCAAAAGGTACTATCCTCCAAATAATCATCGAACAGGGCAAAGTGAGAATTGACTATTGCTACTGAACTCTATTACTGTACTATGCAAAGCACGATTTGAAAATAGTATGCAGCATCTTCTATCGTGCCTTTTCTTCTGTAAATTAGTTTTAAATATCATCTTGAATCTCAAGCCTCAAAATGACATCGCCACGAACTTCTCATCTGAATTAAGAATCTAACTGTCTGTGGCTTTAATGAGTCAGGGCACAATGATATTACTCTATAAGTCGTAAAAGAGATGACGTAAGAAATCTAATATTTACTTCATCCAGAAAATTCCAGATTTGCGTTGCTGCACCGAGGGCTTCAGCAACAGATTGGAAACAGGTGGCCAGTTCACCGAGCATAAAGACACCTTGCGTCATAGCACTTAGAACCTTTTCAAATGAAAGGTTAAGCATTTTTTCTAATCAGTTTTTTGTGAAGAAAATCAATTGTTAACTCACAATCATTAAATCACTGATATTCATTTTCTCAGTTTTATCGTTGTGAATTAACCTCGAGCCGAAATAAAACCCAGCTGCATAGATTAAACACATAAAAACATCAAATAGAGCCACATAAAATCCAAATACGATGCCCTTCTGAATGTTTCGACGTTTTGCCAAATCCAAATGTTTTTCATATCTAAAACATATACATATCAGACTCACTCCAAACAGAAGTCATTAATTTATGTCACAAGATCGATTTACCGTTGTTGTTCGTATTTTGTACCATTAAACGCTAAAACAGTTCTCAATGAGGTAAACACTTCTTGAGCGACATCCCCCGATTTTGAGTATGCATTCATCTCATTTATTGCCACGTGAGCGGTTAACTAAACAGACATTATTATTGTTTCAAATGAAAATAAATTTTATGATAAGCTCTTTACTTTTGTAAAGATAGCTGACAATAATAGTAGTAATGGTAGACCGCACAGTAAAATTAATGTTAATTTCACATTTATGATAAATCCTAATATACAGCCACCAAGGGTCAGAGATGAAACTCCTATTATCACTGACAGTTGAAATCCAATGCCATGATTAATTTTATCTATATAACTATAAGAGGCGAAAAAACAGATGTGCGAATCACAAACTTTTCTTTGTGTTTAATGAAAAATATACTCGAATAACTCCGTTTGTAGTTCTCCAGTTTTGGTTTTATCGAAAAATTCAATATCTTTATTTAATATGGTTTGATATAGTAGTACACGTATTCGATTCGATTGTCGTTTACCAGATATTTCAAAACAACAATACTGGATACAAGACAGTAAAAATATAAGACAACCAAGTCCTTAGAAAGAAAGAGTTTGTCAGCGTGGAATAGTGGGTCAGAATATAAAACTCCTGATTCAAAGTAAGAAATGTTAATAAGGGGAAATTCTCTTCAACCAGGAGCTTTTTCCTGTATTGTACAGAACGAACGAACAAGATGAGAGGTGCAGAGACACACACTTCGAAGTAGAACAAAAACTTTTCCTTGAAACCTAAACCGTAATTTTGCTCACTTCGTCAGTAAAATTAGAAGAATGATAAAAGTTTGATTTCATGTTTTTGTATTGGATATCTATTATACTAGGATCACTTAAAAGAAACACCAATAGCTTTAAACTAATGCTCTAAGCAACACTGAATGAATAATAAAAGGTGGAGAAGACGACTGACAGCGGTAGCAGGTTTACATCGGAATGTTTTGCATGTAATTCTGTTTCGTCCATGATAACTATAGTTTTTCAGCTGTTAAGATACTCAAAAGACTAATTATTTTCGAAAGACATATTTCCGTGGGAATCATCCACTAGGAACGAATCTGACAAAGAAAGTTCCGGAAAAGCTTTCTACAGAAATCTGTTGTTTTATATGGATGTTTCCTTGCAGTTTCGCGAGCTGACTACAATTATGATATTCGTTTTGACTGAAAATACTTTAAAAGTGGATAAAACAGGATTTTACGTGTAGGAACGTGATGTTTTTTGAAAGTAGTTACCAGTTAAATATAGAACTGTTCGCTGGACTTGTTCACGAAATTGACTGGATAACAGTACTTTCCTCTCGCTGCCGACATTGATGTTGCAATAACTAAACAATAAACGATGCGTCGCACACTCATATATTATAGCTTTAATAAGTGGCGAACAAAATACTTATGATAATGTTCAAAGTTGAACTGATTTAATTCAACACCGTGGGG